GATAAGTATCAAAAAATATTACTGCTTCCAATATTAAGTGATCTTCATACAGCTTGTGTATTCATGAATGTCCTAAAGGCACCGCATAACAAACAAAATTTTTAATCTATTTTGACGTCCTTAGAAGCTGAAATGTGTTGGGTGCTGCTCACTATCGGCGAGTTTGGGTGTTGTTCACTATCAAAACTATAGAACTCATATTGAGTTCAAACCCATTTTGACAAACCATTTAAATATCTAAATGAGATGTTTTATGTATACACAGCAAAGTAATTTGACCAAAATGGGAAGTTGAGATCCGAATTGGATGNAAACAAGAACACAAATCTCACTTAAGAACACATAAGAGAACTAAACCTGAAGAAGTGAACGGCTGATTGCGATACCAGGAGGAGCTAAACAAGGTTTCCCCTGCTACTTGATAGTAGAGCCCGGAGAGGCACTGCCTCAAAAGCATAGAAATAGAATGGTTAAAAATCATATGGGGTCGACCCCACTTGAGTGAGTCGATGTGTTAGTNGGAGGAGCTAAACAAGGTTTCCCCTGCTACTTGATAGTAGAGCCTGGAGAGGCACTGCCTCAAAAGCATAGAAATAGAATGGTTAAAAATCATATGGGGTCGACCCCACTTGAGTGAGTCGACGTGTTAGTGTCTCATTGGTTGTCAATGAAGTCTTGCTCACCTATCTGAATTATCAATAAACTTTTAGTTATCTTATTTAATCCTTAAAATTTTAAAATCATTTCAATTTGTCTCGTTGTCAATTTTATGCATCCAACTTAGATATGTTTTTTCTTCTTGTATTACTATTAGGAGCATAATTGGGATATAAAATCCCAACAACCTGATTATTGCTCATTCTCATATCTCAAACTTCAACATTGTCCAAAAAAATTAAATACAATTAGGAAAGGTTTCCATTCTAATTTCTAAAAATAAAAGAAAATTATTTCTTTTTTACTTGTAAAGGTAGAAACATGAAACTTATTTATTTTCTATTTTCAATTATGAAGAGAATACAAAATAGAAGCAAAAAACTTATTTGGTAACTAATTTTTATCGGTCCTACAAATAATTCAATGCAGCTATTTTCATTATTCATTTGAGCAAAGTTATTCAAAAACCCAAAAGTAATAATATTAGTTGCATAATTTGAGATAACCTCATGGTCCATAGGTTTTTAAATACATGTATTGATTTACATCCTATTTGTTGCATTACTTAGGAAATTTTTTGACATAGTAAGAAAATAATACACAAACCACATTACTTCCACAAATATGCAAACATCTCCATACGAACTCAATTAATGTCTTGGTCCATTCTAATGAAATTATGAACGATTCTCTTTGGGGTGGTGGTCATGGCAGGATAGTGATGGTGGCCCCAACATTGCTAGCAATGGTGACATAGTGATGGCGATGGCAATAATAGTGGTGGGTGGTAGTGAAGGTAACAACGATGGTGATGGTGGCAACAATGATGGATGTGGNAGCCCCAACATTGCAAGCAATGGTGACATAGTGATGGCGATGGCAATAATAGTGGTGGGTGGTAGTGAAGGTAACAACGATGGTGATGGTGGCAACAATGATGGATGTGGGGAGGTGGCGACAACATATGCGGTGACGGTAATGGGGCGATGGTGGCGAGGAGAAGGCATTGTAATGGTGGTGGCGACGAGGGTTGTGGCGGTTGTTGTAGTAACATCTATTCTATAAATACCATAAGTTCGTGACCCAAAGACTAATTTATATAAAGAAACCAAAAAAATGGATATGGTTCACTGAAGCTAAAGTCTCCATATGGTAGATAAGTATCAAAAAATTTAACTGCTTCCAATATTAAGTGATCTTCATACAGCTTGTGTATTCATGAATGTCCTAAAGGCACCGCATAACAAACAAAATTTTTAATCTATTTTGACGTCCTTAGAAGCTGAAATGTGTTGGGTGCTGCTCACTATCGGCGAGTTTGGGTGTTGTTCACTATCAAAACTATAGAACTCATATTGAGTTCAAAACCAATTTGACAAACCATTTAAATATCTAAATGAGATGTTTTTTGTATACACAGCAAAGTAATTTGACCAAAATGGGAAGTTGAGATCCGAATTGGATGATGGACTTAGGACTTCTCTATGCAAAATTTGTACCCAAGCCTCCTACTACTACACATTACCCAACACCTACATAACTGTCCACCATTACACAACATCTCAAACACTACCCACCAGCACCAAATATTTGTACCCACAACCACTCATCACCCAAGGCCCCTGCCACCACATCCCAACACCTCCACAACCGCCCACCAACACCTACACTAATCACCCACCAACACCCAACACCCATAATCATGCACAACACAAGCCCCCTACCACCACATTGCCACATCATTGCAAGAATTATATTTGTTAGAATATAAAAATTTTAGCATGGAAATATGCAACATTAGTTTGAAAATGAAAATTAAGCAACAAAGCATCAGATAGTATGATGTTTAAAACTCAATATTAAAATACACTTAACTTTGAGGACCCTATTTACAATTCAACAATGAAAAAATCTAAATCACAGGATGGAGAATGAGTGAGAATAAGATGATTGCTTCAATAACCAATTCAAAGTCAAAATTACAGCACAAAAACAGAAAAAACCTAGGTCGGACAAAAGAGCAAAGCATCGTCTATACCTCATTGTTTAGTGGTCGTGCACAGTACTTGAATTGACCAAAATAGCTTACAGTTTCTAGCTTTGGCAAGGCATCCAATATAGAATCCATTTCACTTACCTCGAGTCCTAAACATATGTACATAACAATTAGAACATAATACTTGAATGTAGAAGAGAAAATGGTAGGCAACATACAAATTGAAACTCTCTGCAGTATGAAGGAAAAAAGTACACTTATAATAATTGCATAAGAGGAACATGGATAAGAGTATATTTACCGTGTAAATAATAATCAACATCAATCCCTTCAGTAGAGTGACTGAATTTTACAAATCTAAAATACTTCCAGTCTGCTTTCTAGTATAAGATACACACATGGAAAACACAATGTAAGTCCTCCAAAAAATATGTAAAGCACCTTGTAGCATCATTTTTGTAAGACCTATAGAATTTTGAAGATATGCCACGCTCAATATACTTTAAAGGGAAGCAATATAGTTATTTTCTAGTTCTCTAGGCAATTGCCAAGTCATTGGTGCAATTTCTGTTGTAAATAGCATGATGTGTAACATGATTTATCAATGAACTTTGAAGCAAAAAATATTTGAAACAGCTCCTAAAGCAAGTTGCACTACAAATTACGAAAAATTAAGATTAGTCAATGGAATAAATGGAAGTCTTCTGCAAAAAATTTTTTTTGGGGGGGGGGATTCCTCATGGAAGGGGGAGAGAGGGTATCAGAGAGCTGAGTGAGAGAGGTATGTGAGAGGGAGAGAGAGCCGAGTGAGAGAGATGTAACATTAGATAGTATGAGAGAGACGTAGCATCAAATAATATGAGATAGAGAGAGAAATAGAAGTCTAAGAGTTGTGGAAGGAATGAAAGTCTTTTTCAAAAAATTGGAGGGGGGGAAATTTCACATTAGAACCGTCGAATCAAAACGATTTGAGCTGCAAAAATCTCAAAAAAAAAAAATCTAACTACTTTATTAAATAGACTAACAATAACTCGTGCCTAAAAGCACTACCGGACACAAAAAAATCAAGTAGTTGAATATCAATATATCTAGCCAATAAGAAAATTATTTTTTCTTCATAGTTTACTATAACTTATGCTTTTAATTTTTCAATTGAAGTACTATCTTTCCATTCATTATAAATCAAGTGAGACTCATTATTTGAAATCAAGTCAGACTCATTATTTGAGATCCTTTATACTAATAACCAAATGTGTCCAGAAATCAAGAGTTCACACCACAACATCATTTTTAATCATGCTTCAAAGTCCCTAAACCATAACAATCATCCATCAATCCTAGAATATCCCCACTGCATTCTAGAAGTATGGAAAAAAGGCATCATGTAAGATAATAAAACACCACACGATGAAAGAATGTCTAACTTAATATTGTTTTCAACAATTAAACGAACTATAAATTTAGAATAAGTAATGATGATGCACAAATCGGTTTTATGCACCACCGGTCGAGTGATTAGTATGGTTAATAAAATGCAGTAAGTAAATATGGAGAGAATCAACACAAGCAACACACAAATATAGAGTGGTTCGGTCAGGGTGACCTACTCCACTTTGAAGGGCTTTGGTTGCTGGGGTGTTATATTGTTGTAGTAGTGTGGAGGGTTCAGGTGAGTCAGGTGTGAGATAACATGCTAGATACAAGATGTGAGAGATACCTCCCATGTGTAGGCGAGACTTACAATTTATAGTGTCTCTTAACAGATTGAGGCGCCTTTTCAGTAACAAAAAACTAATTTAGTGGAGTTAGCATCATCCTCTCAACAGTTGAGGCGGTTACGGAGCTCTCCTTAAGATCGGTCTAAGGATGACATAGTTGACTTCTTCACTCCTCATTCCAAGGTGGCGTGGATGATGCTCTTGGGATGGCACTGCTAACTCCTCAACGATGTGGCTCTTGGAGCTTTGATGAGGCTGACCAGACATGGATCTCTGGGCTGGGCCCATCGGGTTTTGTCCAGGCGAGTCCTTTATTCAAGTTGGGCCTTGGGCTGGGCCCATCATTTTCCCCCAATGTCCAGAGTCCAATAAAACTTGGAGAATAGGGCATTTAGCTAAATTTGAACTCTGACTGACAAAGACTCCTCTTAACTAATGACTCATTTTCTTCTTGATATAGTTCATTTCTATAGGATCTCTTGCTATGTAAACTCTCCCCCATTACATCGCTTATTAGGATTTAAAAAACCCTACACTATAAATTGGGGGTTTTTCCCTTTCTTGTCTTTCCATTCAACTTGAGAGAGGGTTTCTTTTTGAGATACTCAAGAACCCAGGCAAGTGGCAAGATGAATGAGGCTAGTGACTTTGTTCCTAAGATGAGTATTCAGAGATCGATATCGAGTGAAGGAGGAGGGATGCAAGCTAGAGTAATCGATGTTGATGCAAGGGCTCAGGCGAACGCCGGTGAGGTAGGGGGACTGGTTGGCATTGGTGAGGTAGGGACCCAAGCAAGTGTCGAGAGCGACGCGGGGACTCGACCAAGCGTCAAAGACAAGACGAGAAACCAGGAGGGTGCCAGAGGCGAGGCACCATAGGCTGGCACCGAAGGCGAGGTGTTGTGTGCTGGCGAGAAGGCTAATCGCAGAGTAGGCATTGCAGAATCGGCGCCCCTGGGTGCTGCGCGAGGACTGGCGAGCGCGAGAGAGGCGTCACCAAGCGCGACTAGGCGTGGCGATGGAGGATGAGCATGGAGCTAGGAGCCAGTACGGGGTGCCAAGAGGTTGGGTGCGCTGACGCTAGTGGAGCTAGTACCCAAGAGCAGGTGCCAAATCTTTAGTGTTAGGAGCACAGACAGACCTTGTATGTGCTAGGTGTTAAGCGTAGGAGCGTTGCAACAATGAGGCGGCGGTGCCGAATGGCCGTCAAAAGGATGAGGCCCGATTGTTGACATTCAATCTANATGTGCGAGGTGTTATGCGTAGGAGCGTTGCAACAATGAGGCGGCGGTGCCGAATGGCCGTCAAAAGGATGAGGCCCGATTGTTGACATNAGAGCCAGTACGGGGTGCCAAGAGGTTGGGTGTGCTGACACTAGTGGAGCTAGTACCCAAGAGCAGGTGCCAAATCTTTAGTGTTAGGAGCACAGACAGACCTTGTATGTGCGAGGTGTTATGCGTAGGAGCGTTGCAACAATGAGGCGGCGGTGCCGAATGGCCGTCAAAAGGATGAGGCCCGATTGTTGACATTCAATCTAATGTAGTCACACGAGTTACAGATGGCCTGAGTTTCAAGAGCGTGCCTAGAGATGGTAAAACCAATGTTACTCTAACATTAAAATATCCAACATGATTACCTGGAGAGAGAGACAAACACATCAGACTGTAGAGAAATAGAGGTTTTTTGCATGAGAGTAAAGATAGAGTATGAGGGTTGCTGGTGAGAGAGTTACACCTCTTCAGACCGAGCTTTTAGCGACTCGTGAGAGTTTTTAAGCTGGAGGAAGGTTGACTATGAGGCTGCCCGCATGATAGTAGAGATAATTTGAGAGTTGCTCATGAGAGAATTGCATCTCTTGAGACTGAGCTTTTGGCGACCAGTGAGAGAATCACTAAACTAGAGGTAAGCTAAGTGTGAGGCTACCTATATGAGAACAGAGGAAGAATTTGAGGGTTAGCCCATGGGAGGGCCACCAAGCAGAAGNTCATTTAGCTAAATTTGAACTCTAACTGACAAAGACTCCTCTTAACTAATGACTCATTTTCTTCTTGATATAGTTCATTTCTTTAGGATCTCTTGCTATGTAAACTCTCCCCCATTACATCGGTTATTAGGATTTAAAAAACCCTAGGCTATAAATTGGGGGTTTTTCCCTTTCTTGTCTNTGGAGCACACTCCCCTGGCACCTAACACTGAGTCTTCTCGACAATCTCTCTCCTCAAGCGGTGTGAGTTCAGCCACAAAATTTGTTAATGCCTATGCCTCTGTGGCTTCTTTTTGAGAAGTCAGGTGCATGTGGTGAAGATGATGGCGAGGGGACTCACCTTGCCTGGCTTTGGTAACATCCTTGGCATTTGTGTATTTGAGCTTTTGCCTACAATTCTGGCATACTCTTTGGTGGGTGCTTTCATCATTGAGAAAAGAAAGCTAGATGAGCGTAGGCCTCCCAAGAAAGCAGTCATGATGACCTTGTCATTGGGCTCCTGAATCTGGAAGACCTCCTCGTTAAAACGAGTGAGGTAACTCCTCAGGCTTTCATCCNAAGGCACCATAGGCTGGCACCGAAGGCGAGGTGTTGTGTGCTGGCGAGAAGGCTAATCGCAGAGTAGGCATGGCAGAATCGGCGCCCCTGGGTGATNTTGCATCAGGGATGTGTAGATGTCAAGGTGGTCCAATGGGTCTTTGGAGCCATCAAAAGCTTCCATGGTTGGCATCTTGAACTTTGGGGGAAAATGGTAGTTGGCTACATCAGTCACAAAGGGCGTGTCAGTATGCCTCACTAGGGACTCGATCATTTCATGTCCTCGCGCCTTGAGGGCATTGAAGACGCAACCTAGCTGATTCTGCACCTCTTTGATTTTTTTGTCCTATTGGTTGGAGACGACCTGTGAAGGATCGTTGTAGTGGCTTACATGGTCTCTGTACTGGCTTTTTCTCTCACCTTCTTGCATAGGAGGGTCACCAGCATAGAAGGACGGAGTCAGCACATAAGGAGGAGAATCCAAGACGCCTGGGCACTGAGGACGGATGCCCTGACGTTGAGGAGCACCCTGGTGCTGGGTGCCCTGACGCTGGGGGGGGCTCTGCTAAAGGGTGCCTTGGCACCCTAGGCGAATTTTTTAGGGTGTTTCTCCTCCTGGGGACTGGGGCACAACTTTTGTGGGTGTCAGACGAGCATTAGCCGGAGGATCTGCTAGTTTTGGTTTACCAACAGTTGCATTGTCTCCAGTAGTTGCTATCTGGCTATGGGATTTGCCGCAACGACATAGTTGGCTAGTGGAGGCAGGACCTCCTCGCGACGTGGTGGATCGTCCTCAAGCTAATTCATGGATTTTGTGGTGAATGCCATAGATACAAAATGATGGTTGGGTGAAAACTTTGTCGTTTCTACAGACGGTGTCAANCTGCATTGTCTCCAGTAGTTGCTGTCTGGCTATGGGATTTGCCGCAACGACAGAGTTGGNTTGCATTGTCTCCAGTAGTTGCTATCTGGCTATGGGATTTGCCGCAACGACATAGTTGGCTAGTGGAGGCAGGACCTCCTCGCGACGTGGTGGATCGTCCTCAAGCTAATTCATGGATTTTGTGGTGAATGCCATAGATACAAAATGATGGTTGGGTGAAAACTTTGTCGTTTCTACAGACGGTGTCAAACTGATGATGCACAAATCGATTTTATGCACCATCGGTCGAGTGATTAGTATGGTTAATAAAATGCACTAAGTAAATATAAAAAGAGTCAACACAAGTANTGCTAGTGGAGGCAGGACCTCCTCGCGATGTGGTGGATCGTCCTCAAGCTAATTCATGGATTTTGTGGTGAATGCCATAGATACAAAATGATGCTTGGGTGAAAACTTTGTCGTTTCTACAGACGGTGCCAAACTGATGATGCACAAATCGATTTTATGCACCACCGGTCGAGTGATTAGTATGGTTAATAAAATGCACTAAGTAAATATAAAAAGAGTCAACACAAGTAACACACAAATATAGAGTGGTTCAGTTAGGATGACCTACTCTATTTTGAAGGGCATTGGTTATCGGGGTGTTTTATTGTTGTAGGAGTGTGAAGAGCTCAAGTGAGTCAGGTGTGAGATAAGATGCTAGATACAAGATGTGAGAGAAGATGCTAGATACAAGATGTGAGAGATGCACCCATGTGTAGGCGGGGCTTACAATTTATAGTGTCTCTTAACAGATTGAGGCACCTTTTCAGTAACTAAGAAGCTAATGTTGTAAAGTTGGCGTCATTCTCTCAACGGCTGAGGCAATTATAGAGCTCTCCTTAAGATCAGATCTAAGGATGACATGATTGACTTTTTCGCTCCTCANCGGGGCTTACAATTTATAGTGCCTCTTAACAAATTGAGGCACCTTTTCAGTAACTAAGAAGCTAATTTTGTAAAGTTGGCGTCATTCTCTCAACGGCTGAGGCAATTATAGAGCTCTCCTTAAGATCAGATCTAAGGATGACATGATTGACTTTTTCGCTCCTCACTCCAAGGTGGCGTGGATGAGGCTCTTGGGATGGCGCTGCTCACTCCTCAACGAGATGACTCTTAGAGCTTTGATGAGACTGACCAGACATGGATCTCTGGGCTGGGCCCATCGGGTTTTGTCCAAGCGAGTCCTTTATTCAAGTTGGGCCCTGGGCCGGGCCCATCAAGTAAAGTCAAGTTAGTAAGATAGTTAGAACCAATAATTTATATATCAAAATGAGAATCCACCAAAAGGAAACTTTTTTTTAAATATAAAAACTCAACCAGTTGTTTAATGGGTACAATAGCCTCATACAATGCAATATGGTACTGCTGCTTTGGCTATATCTTCAATTCCTAACCCACATCAGAAAACACAACAACCAGAATATCCATCCCTAGAAACACAACATGCTACCACAATTGCACTGTCATTTTATCAGAATTTTGAGTCATTCGATATCACCACCTAGTCAATTTCAGTAAATTCATGTTAAATTTTGCCTAAAAACATATAAACGTATTCCAAGATAGTGCTCATGCCTTAAGGCATTGTGTAACATAAAAAAAGTTATGCACTACACCAACGATGACATTTAATCAAGTCAAATATATTTTTGATAAACTATTAAACACAAAAAAATTATCAATACAAATAAAATACAAATCAATCTTGTTATAAGCAGTCCTGTGTACTAAGAAAGCAATCATTATCCACTTGTTTAAGTTAATTACAAATGTAAGCGAAAAATCTTAATTAAATAAAAATGAGCACATTAAAGATCCCACTTGCGACAACTGAAGGATATCTTCAGAAAATAAACTTTTTTCCTTTAGAACACCATGAATTTCCTCTAAATGAAAAATATCAAAAAATTGGTAGTATGAAAAATGAATCCAAGCAATAGAGATGGCCTTCCTTACCACCAGTAATGCCAACATTAGTTATAGTTGGGGGTAATTCAATTAGCATACTTGGACTTGGTGCCTGCTATGAGATACTACTATTCATTCCTATGCAAGGCAAGTTGACAATCAAAAGGTGGTCCACAATCAAGGGAAAAGAACCATTGCCAAGGATTCATAAATTCACTAAAATATGAAACCAAAAAATAAAAAATAAAAGCAAACTCAAATTCACTACTAGATTGAATGTCAGAAAGAGATGTAATAAAAAATCGATTGCTAAGTATTCCACAAATCCAAAAAATTTAACACACAATTTAACAAACTTACACATACATTTATAGGGAAAAAATCCACAACAAACACATGAAAATAAAAAACCCAAAACAACAAACCAATTTGGTCGTCATTGCCATTGCTAGCTGGAGAAGAGGTCACCTATTTTCTAATGGATAATCAGGAGTACAGACCAAATAGATACAA